CCATTTGCATAGCTTCTTACTTAGTAATATAAATATCTGTTCACTAGAAAGTTGTTCGGTTTTTGGCTTTGTTAACCACAGAGGGCCCATTTACACGATCTGAAGTATCAGTAGATATCCACAGTTATACAACCAAGGTGAGTGTCTTAGTCCATGCATTTCTAGTCAACCATGTGGTTTAAAGGTAGTATACATTAATTCCACTGGGAGTTCTTCTAGTAGTAGATGGAAGCAGACGTTGAGACGGTTAATAGTCCAAACGGCAGCAGTTACATATGGACTCCGGGCATCGTTCATATCAGCGTAAGCAGCATCATTCGAGAAGTGTATTTGATACATGGTAACTTTTGGTTAAGAAGATCACTTGATACAGAGTACTATAGAACATGTAGTGTGTAATTGCCACAGGCAAGTCATATTTTGAGCCAATAGGTATATTGGTCTCTCGTTTGATCATTTGTTCAGAATGTTTGTGCCACTATGGCTGTTGGGAAACTTTAGGCGGTTCGCCACAAGAAGAATCATGACCAGCTGATGAGTTGATTGTGAAGATGTTCCAGAAGCCGCGAAAGATTGGGAGCAGTCTGATAATCCATGGAGTCAAACAGCAGGTATTATTTCCACTTAGTGGATATGTCCAGATTGAAATTCAGCGTCAAATGTCCTCATCGAGCTGTTGCTGCAAAATTAAAAAAAGAAAGAAGAAGCACGAGCAGATGTGAGAAATGGAATTACCCGCAGACCAGCTTAGAAAAGAGGAAAGTTCCTATACTTTTAGACCTATCCGAACTTTATGTACATTTTCATGTATGTGTATGGTTAACTACATAGTTTTTCTACTATAAGAATCTTAAAACTTTTCCATGTCCATTGCTAATTGAAAGTGACTGCACGCTATAATTCCCTATATCCTCCGTTGAAATATACTTTTATGCATATTTCGTTTGTACTTTCGTTTCCTTGCGCAAATTAAGAGGGTTGGTGTACGTGAGTGGATAGCTATGAATGATATTGTGCGCGTATACCAAGGGCAGGAGTACTTGCCAGGAGTCACTGAAACGTAAACGGGCATCTAGGTAACACTTATTCCTCGGGTTGTTTACCTTAGTATGCATGGTATATTTTATTTTGACAGATGGCGCAGAAGTCACTGACTCCCACTAGTATTACTTAGCGGGCCGGAACTGACTTTAGTAGAAGGAAACATCAGCCCAAATGAAGTCACTTCATGCACAGCTTTTGGTTGCGCAGATTAGATTCATTGCACTCACAGACTGCGAATGGTGTGATTACTATGTCCTGTATTGAGAAGACATGAAGTTGGGACTGATGTCGTAAGGGGGAATATTTATTCCTTTAAGGGGAGGAACCAGTGTAAAAACAATGAAGGATGTCTGTTCTGAGAAATGCAGTAAATTATGGCGGCGAAAAAAGTACACTAACTGCATTGGGGGGTTGTTGAACTTATGTGAACGTTCGCTAGCCATACATCCAAAGATAGAAGGTGCCTTACTTCATGTCGCCGGAAGGCTAGTAAGCTACACGAATCTTCCGGCTTCATCACTGTTTCACAACGACCCAACAGCAGAGACTGTCATAAATGGTCGTATATTTATCATGCGTAAATGAAAAACATGGTTTCTGTAAGACTTTCATGTGAACAGCGTCACCAATGCAAACGTTCAGTGACTTTGTCTGACGTGCATCATCAATGGACTCCGTTGGGTTCAAGTAAACCGGAAAGCCGTTTTTGGCTAAATATAAGCTCATATGAAAATCCTAAGAGGGATGAAAGGAAGCAAATTTAAAACTCTCTTTGGTTCCTCCATTTTGCAGTCCTCAAAATTTCATAACACTTAGATAATTTGATTCACACACCATTCCAAATTCCTTAATAATTCATCGGTGACGCACTCTGAAACACGTTTCGCTCTTTCTGTACCGTCGACCTGCTTAAAAACGGAGCACTGCGTCATTAACAAACAGCCTATCAAAGGATATATCCATATTCGTTTCGTTTTCTTCATGGCTCGATTTACTGTTGATTACAACGTGACTTGAGGTGTGAACCGCAGTCACAATTCTTTTTTGCCGTAATTTTAAACCACGATTACTTCAATCTGATTTGCGAGCATCAATTGTTGAAAACAGATGTTGAATGCCTACCTGGTTATGTTATCCGGATCTCCTTGATTGTCAGAACTATGATGAAGCCCTTTTTCCATCGGTAGCCAAACTCTGCACCGATCCCTGTCCAGCGTGGGACTTAACTGGCATCCGCATTTGGGACGCAAACCATGGCAACCTCTCATACACTTAACGCCCTTGAAGCGGCCAAACAAACTTTATTCTCATTAGCTTAAACAGTCAGTTGTTAATCCTGGTCACTTTCCAACGTTTCCCAGTATATTGATTCTGCTGTATCCGCTCAATTTTCTAGTCATCGTGACCATGACACTACACTCTACAAATATGGTTTAGGACCCCCTTCTTCACCCAGATTTGAGTGAAATATTTCCTCAATGTTTTCCAGCCTAGCACATCGCTTTTCATTCGTGCAATGCATTAACCATTTCAAATCACCAGTGCATTACTGGCATCGAAATTCAGGTGCTTTAACTGTATAGACAGATCTGTAAACTGGCATGTGTTTGTATTTACAAGGATAAACTATCATAACCCTTAGTAGTATTCATAAATAAACCCCCCTTTCTCACCGAAGGTGCACGTAAATAAACCTCATAAAACGCAATCAGCTGATTAGCGGCGTTTCAAAAAGCTTAAAAATGGGCAAAAAGTGCCTTCAGAAAACGGAAGCTATGCATTTTTCACCCTGGATGCCATGGTCAACGCAAGCTGGGGATAACTTTTGGCCACACCCCTTAGAAGAGAATTGATGTTATTTTCAGTTCTACCGCCGTCCATCCTTCTCAAGATCCGAGCATGAGCTGGTAAGTGGCAGGAAATACGTGCTCCGCTCATCTAACTAAAGACAAATGGAGTTGATGGTTCAGATACTTCAGGTGGAATGAATGAAGTCAATGAACATGTGCACCGGAAACACTTTTCACATGAGTTATATAGGATCGGGGGATTTTATACGTGCATGAAAAACATATCTTTGAGTGTAAAATAGCTTCTGCTTTTGTGTTTTAATTATGGTGTAGTGGAGAAGTTGATGAACGGAAGGTGCAGCATACGTTTAGTCAACGTAAGATAGGGCAGTTGCCACTTCTGATGATATTAATTTAGCTTTGCATAGGCCGATGGCTACTCAAGATGCCCCGAAACTATCACTTCCATGTAGGTAGTACATTGGAGCACTTACGACTTAATTTAATTCAGCTGAGCAGCTCATCAGCTGCCACAGTTTATTAGCTTAAAAAGCTCAACATTGTCCTACAGAGACAGTCGACTGCAATAAAGTAGGATTAAAGCTGCTTTTCGGAAGTGCTACATCTGTTGCCTGATTTTGGCTAGCACTCCAGTGGGAGTTGTGAACCTTAGTGGTGCTGTGATTACATTGAATTGGAAATCAGCACTTTACGACCAGTATAGCGTGTTTGCGTTCGTAACCGACTGCAGTTTCCTGACAAATTACCATTAGTTACTTCATAGTGGTTCCTCATTTTCTAGCTGCCCGTCTGAAAAGCCGGATGTTATTCCCTGAAAAATGAATATCATTTACCTGTCTACGAAGTAAAGGACATAACCGTCGCGTTATTCGACAATCTATGGGGAGGAATCTAATGAAAACTCGACCATAGCTACGCACGCAATTTTACACGATAGGATGAGGCAGAGTAACTGCATTAGAAACCATTTTAATCGGGCGCCGGAAGTGATTGATAACCGGGTATTTGTTTATCTGATCAATATCAAGGATGTACAGTATCAGCGATCCAACACTTTTACCATATGTATGGAAAATTTCGCCATCCACGTCATAAAAGATGGGGATAACTTAAAATTATGTAAACCAAGTCTCAAACTTTAGGGTTTTCTGGTATGCGCGCAGACAACTGGATGTTTTAAACGTAACCCAGTGGATAGTACTGGCTCCCTGCCACCCAGCTAATACACAAAATGAAATGGAAACCAGAAAGCCGGTCGAGCACGTTTAACCACTGAAGCGAGACCACGAAATTTTAGTTTCAGTACTCCTGAACTTTGAATTGGGTACATTAATCACCTTTACTATTTGGGCTTCTAATAGGAATCAGAATATTCGTGCGACGCCTAGGTACTTATGCACTTCTAAGTGAATAATCTTTGCATTTTCCAGAAAGGGTAATCTTTTAAAGCTTATTTTAGATACTCACTGCTGGAACAGTCGAATGGACACAATTGTATTGTTTTGGTGATTGAAATTATCAGATACTTGATTTTGCATCCTATTATTTACACGATGAGTGTATATTAGTTACTTTTCAGATTTTGGAATACTAGTGAGACTGGTGAAACCAAATAAGGGAAGTGATTTGCATCAACAAAATACTTCATACTCGTGACTAATATGAGGTTTTTAACCCTATCAGTTTTTCGCAAACTCTTGAAATATAATCATGAATAAGTTACAGAGAGGCGGCAGTCGGACTGTAGTGCTCATTTCACGTCAGTTGTTTGAATGCACCAACACTGGTTTCTTACGGTACTCTTATGTTGTTGTTGGCCAATTAGGACGATGTTAGAGTCTAGGGCGCGAGCGCCATATTGTTCACGGGATTTCCTGGTCTTGTCTACTTCGTTGCTGTAATTATCTCACTTAAATGCGGCTTCTGCATTGTGTAGGTGGTAGTTTATGGAAGTATATGAATGCCTCTGATCACTTATTTACTCTTCTTACCCCAATCATAACTAGATTTATTAATGCAACATGTTACAGAATTGTCTTTTCCCGTGTTCATGTTAACCAATTCATTTTGCATAGCCATTGACCAGCAATTGACGCCGTTGCAGTAAAGTCCTATATTTTGTTTCTGTTTTTCAGCATTCACTTCATGGCTCAAGAGACTCAGCAGAATGAACTTCGTGGATCTATTAGCTTACGAAATCCTCAATTACAACACCCGAACGCACTAGCAATCGTTAATAACTATTCCTCGTCTAGCGAAATTCATACTTTACATCAGATATCTAGTTCGTCTACTAAACTGCCTACAGCGACGTCAATTTGTTCACTATCCAATAACAACCAGCCTGTTCAGTATATAGGACCGGAGGCCAGAACTGTGTGTGTTCCTGCTTGTGGTTCGCATTCATCCTATACCCACCCAGTTGCGCATCGCGCATCTCCAAATTCGAATGTCGGATATAACCCTGGATCTATGACTCATGCTCATTGCAGCACTTCAACTGGTCAGCCGGATATGCTTGAGACATTGCTGTCCAGGAATGTATATAATGCACAAATACATAACCAAAATCATTCTCCACGTCTTCTCGGTCCGTCGATAGTCGTGACTAACGTGCCAAATCAAAATCCAAATATGAGTGGCCCAGGAAATATTCGCAACACTGCTCCGGCTTCAAGTGGTCATCCAATGGGTCAAACCTATACACCCACGACGAGCGCCCCATCTGTTGTTGCTACGGATCCTGAAAAACGTCAGCTTATTCAACAACAGTTAATACTCTTGCTTCACGCTCGGCGTTGCCAGCGCCAGGAAGATGAAAGTAATGGAAGAATAAGTCAGTGTACGACACCTCATTGCAACACCATGCGAGGAGTACTGCAGCATATGACTTCTTGTACACAAGGTAAAACTGTCAAACGCCACACTGTGCTTCCTCTCGTCAGATCATATCACACTGGAAAAACTGTAACAATCGGGAATGCCCAGTATGTGAACCTTTAAAACAAAATCAACATTATCAGCGCAGTCAGATGATACGTCCACCGCAGAATTCATCTCAAGTTCATACGTTGCCGAGTCGTGTTCCCGAGGTAAATGGTGTTGACTCAAGTCCTCATTCCTGCTCTTCACAGCAATTACCTAGTCAGAATTTCCGTGTCACTTCCATCGGAAGTATTCCTGTTAATGCATCTGTTATTCGAGCACCTGGTGCAGTCATCCCAAGCACTCAGATTTCAGAAACAGTTACTCTAAATGGTGTCAGCACTCACACAACCGCAAACTGTACTCCCGTGGAGCAGAGTGATTGGCGTAAAGGTGTGGATATATCTCAGCGCAATCACGTTGTTCGAAGAATGTGAGTGCTGTATTAATGTGTATCATTTGATTTGTTCAAACTTCGCTTACTGCGTACACCTTGAAATTTTTTCAGCTCGAGGAATTTTGTACCATTGTGCGTACACCTTAATGTCCATATACTTTGGTTCACTCACTACATAGGAAACTTGTGATCTCCCAGATACAAGAAGTTATAGAATTAGCAAACTTAATGCCACAATTCCTTTCTCAGGCATTTAGTTTCATTTTCGTCTAGTGACTAGTGTAAGTAAAATTCTTAAAGAGAAGTAACGTGTGATCAATAAACTAGTTCTGAGTTGTAGAGAAAGAACAGATAAGTGATGTCATTTGTGAGATAAGATGGCGATAATGCGAACTGAGGGTAATCAAGTGAAAGTCACTGAACCTGTCATCCGTAATTTAACTTTTAAATCATTTCTGTGCAGGTGCATATGTACTAGGTTATGAGCTGCATTTAGTGCGAGGGCTTAACATCATAGCCGGTTACCCACACTGAAGTAGGTACAGTGGGGTATGAACTCAAGACCCGATACTTCGAGGTTGAGTGTCACGGCCAGTGATTCGCAGTTGCGCAAGTTGTGGCTAGTAAGAAACGCCGTTCTAATTACTTGATGCTAAGTGTATTATAGTACTCTAGTTTACACGAAATTTCGATCCATACAAATGTGAGAACGTTGAGAATTGCATGTCGTACTGGTAAGTGACAGCTTTTGGTCCCATTTTGCATTTCCTTGTGGGCGTAAGTCCACGTGGCACTAATTACTTACTCTTGGTTGATATTCATCTGTTTCATACTAACTGACAGATTTTGGGGTTTTACCGTTGGGACATTATGCGCAAATGCGTAAAATCTCGTCATAACATCTGTAGACTCTCGATGAGAGTGGTAAGTTATTAATCAAGGAAAGCTTTATTCTAATAGAAACGAAATGCAAGGCGGTGTTCAGATTTAAAAGAGAGATGAGCATCCCCGCCTCATAGTTTGTAGTCCTCGAGACAGCCAAATTAGTCAATATTATCTTAAAATGCTTGTAGTGTCGCAAGTGTTAAACTTTGTTCGATCGCTTGTCATTTGCTTTAACGTCTCTTTTCCCCTTAAGGCTATCTACAACTGTTGTATTATTTTCCCTCGTCATGTGCCTTGATACTAAGTATGGTAAGTTAAACTTGCTCAGGTATGCTAGGTTGCATGCTGATGGCTAGCTGGTGTCTATGTGATTGAACTGTAGTGGCACTCGAGAGCGTTTAGCCGCTGACTTTTAGGGCTTTCATTCAGGAAGTCACCGCTTATCTTACGTAGTTCGGATCAAGTGGTTCCAGGTTGAATAGGGTAAAAGATTAATGATTTCTGTTCCAAAAGTGATGCTGGAAGGGATGGAGACCGCTTTCTGTGGTTTCAGTAGTATATTTCGGCGAGTCGTTTGGTTTATCAGCTTTACTGGAAAGATGATAACACCTATCAGCGCAAAAATCAGTAAGGTTTGTCTATTCTGCTATGAACTGTTTTGACATGAGGCTACTTTCCAAATATGTAGCGAAAGTGCAGTGTATGAGCAGCTGATTGTCATTTACCTCAATGAACAAACCACAGCTACTGAATATAAATCTCACTTAAAAACAGACGATAGCTATCGCTGCAGTACCGTTGTGTGGCATTTAAGGAACCAGCATATCATGTGTGCTTTTTTGCGTGAAAGCTTCAAAATAAAGTTTTAGGGATTAGTTAATTGACTCTGAAAATAGCGGTAGTTACCAACAACATGCACGCAGAAATTCCCACACAGAAATAAGATATTACTCAACAACAAATCTCCAGCGTAGGTCGCAGGAATCTTTCAGCATGGCACCTTACGTCAGTACATCATACCAACGCAAGATGAAGAAATGGTACAGCCGACCTACGGCGTTCTGGTTGGTTCTGAGCTATATGAACTACGGTTTCCAATCGATTTCCAGTGTCACATCCACACTGGCCTGGAAGTCATTCCCATTTGTTCCTTAGAATAGTAGTCAGACTGGATTGGTGTCACGTTTAAGTCTTGCCACTCTCAATTTCCGATCACTGGCTCTACGTCCACTAAAATTGCGGTTGAGCGAGATGGTAGGTGGTGGTTCAACGTCCGTAGCACGCCTCACCGGTGACAACGGACAAGTTAGAGGGAGTTAATCAAGCCTTTTTTTTATTCACACCATTTCAGTAGGTTTAATCCGACTTTCAAAGTAAGTGAAGTATGCGATGAGTCCAATAACTTCACTTCCTGCTGGAGTTCACAACAAAAGCTTCATGATTTTTGATCCAATAGAGACAAGTTTCGATGACAAGCAGCTTCGTGGCTACTTCCACGTATGCAAAGCCAGTTAGTGGATAGCTTTTGCTCCCTTTACCAACCAGTTTGGCTCCATCTTCTGTGTCTTGAAATTGTTACGCTTTGTAAGGCGTTTTTTAGGGTTTTTTTGCTAGATTTGTTTATTAAGGGTTACATATAGTCAGATTGCCGGTAATCTTACATACCCTTTCACTTTTTAGGAATTAATATGCTCCCAGGATAGCACCTGGTTCACTTGGATTATGCAAACGATTTGTGTCAATCGAAGATGCTAACAAAACTCAGTTTCTTGAACTCATTGTGCAGAAATAATATATTTACCATGCTTTTCGCACATTAAGTGTGAGATAAGGCTTCACGACTGGTCTGCACCAATTCGTATTTTAGAGACGGACTTGAGCAGTGTTATGTGTCGATCACGTCACTTCGAGGATTTCTTTCCAACATAATCTTGGCTCGAAAAGGGGTGTTTGGCATTTAATGGCGTCAGCATGATACCCGACACGTCAAACGACGACTGCACTGTGCAGCAGTCCACTCTGTCCTACTGCACAGCTTATACATGGTCGTTGCAAGTAAATATAAAGAGTGTACAGGTCTATGTCGCATCTTGCATCTGGTGTGAGCCATGTTGAGAAAGGCTAGTCGGTCAGAGGCTATAAAACTTCATCGACTAAGGTGACTTAAACATGAGTTGCGCCTACCGAGCTACCGCCCGCTTCATCTCGCGATGATAACCGAAGTAGAAATTGGATAGTGAATTCACTCAGCAATCCTATGCACCTACGTGCAGTGAGCAATGGACCACACCTATTGTGCAATACCTAGTGATACTATGTAGCTATCAAAACCTTGGTAGGCAGTGCTGGGTTTGGACTTATTACCCATCGGTTAAAAATGCAGTGCCTAGACCATTGAGTTGCAGCTGCTAGGGGATAGGATGGGAGGAAACCTAAGGGGTGGATAAAACAGGATTTCGCATCAATTCATAGTGTCTTTGACTTTTAGTCTCAGCCTTGAGAGGTTTAGATTATCTGTTCTGGGTCCTCGAGATGGTAGTAATTAACGGTTGGAAAGGCTTGATGTTGTAGCTGAAAATCGATCACAATGACATGTATGGATGTATGCATTCTCTGTCATCTTTAAAGTGCTGGCTATTCTCGTTAACCATCGATTTATTTTCTCAACTGTCATACGCTTGTTGACCTCGGTGTCATGTTTTTCTGACCATTTGTTGCTTGTGTGGCGTGGCAACTTGAATTGATGTACTTTTGTGTCGGATTCTACGTTGATACCTATGCATGTCAGTAATCAGAAACTTCTAAGTATCTGCTTAAATGTTAGTCAGGTATTTCGCACTTACGTAACCGTTACCCTAGGACATTTATCAAGATGCTGTCCAAATGTGGAAACTATATCAAAGGTCACTAGTCCCATGGGAGCAGTGATGGGGAAACCTCAGGGTAATTTTTTCGAACTTTGTACCTCAATATTGATTGATTTACGTTGTGTGGTCTGGATCTCTATGCGTGAAAAATGACATGCTTGACAAATATGAATGTAACAAACGGGGTAGGGTATTTGTAATGCTTATTGTTTAGAGCACATCTTTGCACTATTACACCAAATCTTTGGAGTCTGCCAAAGAAGAATGACGAACAATGAGAACTAATTCAATGGTACCTCCACCGATGATCTCCAACGTGATTTTTGATTTAGGTGTTTGTAGTTTAACGGATGATAAGGAATTGTATTCATTTGCTTCTCTGTTCTTCCCTTCATGACAGCGATTTCACATAAGCCTGCGAAGTCATTTTAGTCCCATCGAAAGGCTAAACTCTAGACAACTAGATACTAATTTAATACAAATAATTTTTATTTCGCCTATATCTAGCAGCAAATTAACATTGAATACTTTTAACTACGTTAAAATTTGAGCACTTGTTGGGTCTAGCACTGAATAATGCATCATGTTGAGTTTGTCCTGGACAGTATGGTTCCAGTAAAACAGCTGTACTCTGAAAGCCAAAGAACTTCATTTACCAGTAAATTACTTTAATTTAAAGAAGCATACAGGCTAATTCAGCTGAGCTAGTTATAACCCTACTGGGTTGGTTTGTCACTGCAGTGTTTGCGAAAGTTGGAAATTCCGGTTGAGAATCCTATTTCAACAACCGTTGTCGGTATCCAACTCTACAAATCTAGGTGGCTCATCATAAATTCGAACCGTAAAGTACAGATGATTAGACTAAGGTACTTTTATTGCTCATCGCCTATCCGGGACTCGTAGCGTTGAAGGTCAGAACCCTCGCTGCAAAACGGTTACGCGGATTCGATGATGCGTATTCGTCATTTATGAGAATCGCAGTACTTTTTTTGTTTCTTTTCGAACAATGTATTGCGTGTTGAATACTTATCATTCCCATTGGTTTCCTGTAATGTTGCTGAGAAGTGTGACACCTTGAGTTGACCTTTGTGTTAAGTTCTACCTTTGTTTGATGCAGTGTGGGATTCACTTCTCACGTTGTTCCATCCTCCAAGAATTAGATGCTCTGGCTTTTAAAACTCATAAAAATCAGTCTGTTTAATAGTGAGGATTAGTATGCGGCTTAAATATTTTATAAACATTCGTAGTAGGGGGTTCGTGGATATTTGAAATGTATTCCGCGATTTCAAGCCGGAAAATAATATGTAGTCTGCAACCCGTAGAGTAGTTAACTGTGAACTGAATGTATATATTTTGGTCTATAAGTTACCTGTAGTGTCGTAGAGCGCGCACAACTGGTGTTCAGCTTTCATCATTCGTATTATCGACATAATAATCAGAATACCACGGTTTTTAGTTCAGCGGATTTCCGTGCTTGTTCTTTCTGAACAGCTGGAAAAAGTGACTTGTTAGTTCAACATATAAAATTACTGGTATGAGCACACCAGTTTAATAAGATTCAATGCACATTATAAGACTTGGTTGAGAAATCTTAATATTAGATACTTCAGTAAATAATGGGTTAGGCATCACGACAAGTAGTCAACGTTGAAGTTAGGTGGCTGAAAATATTTTCATGTACCTTTCAGTTGTCTGTCACAAGGACCAGACGTGACGGGAGATAAAAACAGAAGTAACAGGAAAGTTTGTAATTGCCTGTTAGTTCTCTTCATGCTGTGTTGAGTCTCGGAGACTGTTCTCACCAGTGAGCTTGCATCCTCATATTTGTCAGATAATGTCTCTGAGGGTATTGCTTATGGTAAAGATCAGATTGAAGATAAGAGCGAAATAGAAGCATTGTTTGCTTTTTTCAGCTGACTGGTGACCGCAGACTTGTTGACCATCTTTTCGGAATAAATCGCACCATGAGAGTCATGAAAATTGGGCAACCCTCCGATATCTCATTTTTATACTTAACATGTAGCATCATTTTAACAATAAATTGGTCTAAACAAATTTTCAGAGTAGCCTAGTGTTTAACATCCCTCAGGGATTCTGTAAACCTAAAGTTCAATGTATTAGTTTTTTCCTAGCTGTTCAGTAGTCTAGACAATTCACTTCTAACCAGTGGGTCGCAAGTTCTCCGTAAATAGATATTGGCAAGGAGTGCCATGGACTGTTGTACCATAGGAGTGGTTCATAACCCAGTTCATTAGCGCGCACATGGTTGACCAGGTTTTCTTAGTTCCTTTTTTTACCTAGTATCTAGCAGATGATACTTGTTTCTGGAAGTTTTCATTGAGTAAACTCCACCGGTGTATTCATGTTTTTCTGCTTACAGCGTACGGTTTATATTCCCATTTCCGGATCCGGCTGCTTACTCAGACCCAAGGATGCGTAATTTGATTGAATATGCGCGTAAGGTCGAACGCGAAATGTATGTAACCGCTACAGACATCGATCATTATTTCCATTTGCTTGCTCAGAAGTGTTACAAAATACATCGCGAGCTAGAAGAAAAACGAAGAAGTCGTCAGCTTGTGGTGGATAATTCAGTAGGAGGTTCTCAGTCTGCTGTGACTTCATCTTCTACTAACTCTTCACAACTCAACCAGAGTTTATCCACTTTGTCTAGTCAATTAGCCTCTCCCTCCAGCTTAGTTTCTTCAACAGCGGGTTCATGTTCAGCAAACAAAATTCCTAGCTCTAATATTACCAATGGTAGTTACAATGCTTCATCAGCTGAAAGTTACGAAATGAACTCATTTACGGCTCAGGATTCGAGCAACTCAGAAACTGATATGTCGAGATTCGAGCACTATCTGCAAAATGCATGCAATCGTCATCGTTTAAAATCAGATTCAACTACTGCAGGGTCCTCAGAATCACCTGCTGTATTGACTTCAGTGACTACCTTAAAGACTACTACACCACAACCATCTGTCAAAACAACAATAGATGACATCAAAGTTACCGGAACTCCTGTTTTGGCCACATCCGGAGATTGCATATCCGATAGGAGCAAAACTGTCAAACCCGAAGTTAAAGCCGAAGATGCACCATCTAACGAAGTATCAGTCAGTAATGATTCGTTTTCTGTTGACAGTACGTCAACCCTTAATTCAAGCAATGTCCAACTAACCTCGAACATGTTGCCCGTAAAACCAGATGAAAGCAAGTGGAAAAAATGGTCTCGTGAAGAGCTGTTACGCCACTTCTTACAACTGCATGAAGAAATTTACAACGATAAGTATGCAGAACCTTTTCGTGCCCCAGTTGATCCAGTAATGCTTCACATACCGGATTATTTTCAGGTTATTAAAGAGCCTATGGACCTGACTACCATCCGAAATAATCTGGAGGATGGTAAATATGCAGATCCTTGGCAGGTTGTTGATCACTTCCGGCTGATGTTTAATAATGCTTGGTTGTACAATAAGAAGACCTCCAAAGTGTATAAAATGTGTACCAAGGTATGTCAAAGTAATTTCACTTATGTTTTCCACTGTAGCTAGCAGAACTTTTTCAAAGTCGAATAGACCAAGTAATGCAAGCAATGGGTTTTTGCTGTGGTCAGGATTATGAATATCAGCCGCAAGGTTTGTACTGTTCCTCACCGAACTTGTGTACAATAAGCCGAGATGCAACCTATTTTGTCTATATAAACAAGTAAGTTCTTTATTCCTTTCTTATGTGTTTAGTGACAAACAAATCGGTCTTGTTTGTGATAAATACTATCAATGTGAAAAGTGTTTCAGTGAGGCTGGTGATGTAATTATTTTGGCGGATGAACCAAATCAGTCTATGTAAGCTTCACATTTCAGTTTTCCAACTAACTAATGTTCTTTTTAGCCCAATTAAGAGAGAACTCTTCGAGAAGCGGAAAAACAACGTGAAAGAAAAAGAGGAATTTGTTATTTGCGTTGAGTGTGGCAGACGGTGGCACAAAGTTTGTGCATTGCATATGAATGAAATATGGCCAAGCGGATTCGTTTGTCCTGGTTGTTTGAGAGAGCGTGGTATGAAGAGGAAAGAAAACCGGTTCACTGCAAAAAAGCTACCTGTTACACGCTTGAGCAATTTTCTAGAAAAACGCGTTAACGATTTCTTGAAAAAGAAAGAAGTTGGTACCGGAGAAGTCACTATTCGTGTGTTGGCGAGCTCTGACAAAGTTGTTGAAGTTAAGCCACTAATGCGTGCACGTTTTACTGAAAGTGGAGAACTTTCTGAGTCGTTCCCGTATCGATTAAAAGCTGTTTTCGCCTTTCAAGAAATTGATGGTCAGGATGTCTGCTTTTTTGGTTTGTACGTGCAAGAATATGGTTCAGAGAGTCCGCAACCCAATCGCAGAAGAGTTTATGTTGCTTATCTTGACTCAGTTTTCTTCTTTCGGCCGAAACAGTATAGGACGGATGTGTATCATGAGATTCTCGTTGGCTATCTTTTATACGCCAAAAGGTGCGGCTATGCGATGGCACACATTTGGGCCTGTCCACCTGGCGAAGGTGATGACTACATATTTCACATGCATCCTGCGGAACAAAAAATCCCCAAAGCCAAACGTCTGCAGGAGTGGTACCGTCGTATGCTTCAGAAAGCTATTATAGAAGGGATTGTAGTCGACTACAAAAATATCCTGAAAGATGCTCTAGATCATCAACTTGTCTCACCTACTGAAATCCCTTATTTTGAGGGGGATTTTTGGCCGAACACACTTGAAGATATTTTGAAAGTAAGTATACTAATCAATATTGTTTACTACCTTTGTTTGATGAATATAGCCGATATACAGCTTTGGCTTTTATTCTACAAAGACGTGCATCGATAAATAGTTTAGGAACAAACAATCTACTCTTGGTTGTATTTTGAAATGTTCTGCTGGCTATTCGGTTATACGCCTAAGTGCAGATATTTACAACTCGAAGCGGAAATAAATTATAGATTAATTCACGTATAAATACTGAATTTTCGGGTTTCTATTCAAAAATTCTATCTAATATAATTCTCAAGTGCAGATCACTTAAATTCCGATAAGTGTAGGTGTCGTCTATTGTCATTCACTACTCTTTTATTTAATAAGACGGCCTACGAAGATTCATGTTTGTCATCAGAGGTGCGCTTTTACTCTGTACGTAAAGAAAGATTCAGTGCTCAATAAGATTAGTCCACTGTTGATTTCGAAATACTTCTGTTAACAAGCAACCGTTGAACATCGCCTCTAAATTGAATTATTTTACTTTCCGTTTTGGGGAGCGCAATTTCTACAGCAGAGGGTAATCAGAAATGAGTACTATCTAAAAATGCACCATAAAGTTCATCGAAAATCTTTATTACACGTACAGTGTGGATGTTCGTACTAGTTAGTGTCCTCAAGGCGTTAGCTTGCTTCCACTTCATAAAGTGGTCTTAGGTTTTCAGATTGTCTGGAGCTAAAAGTGCCAAAGAAGATTCTGGTTGCATATTCGATAACTGAATTTGTGTTTCCATGAGACCCCTAGGGTTTGGGAATTTTAAGTATGCATATAAATCCTGACATTTCGCTTTCTTATTCAGGAACTCGAAGAAGAAGAGGCTCGTCGACGTCGTGAAGAGGCCATGGCTCAGGCTGAAGCTGAGGATGATGAGGCAGACTGTTCTAGCTCCACCAATGAAGGACTTTCTGGAGATCCTGATAAACGCAGTGGCAAAAAGAAGGCAAAGAAACGCAAGGGTAACAAAAAAGGCAATACATCTACTGCAAGTAAACGAAAACGTTTGGATGGTCCAATCGACGGTGCTGAAGAACTTTCACGTAAAGTGTATGATACTATGGAAAAATTAAAAGAAATATTTTTCGTAATACGTCTTCATAGACACAACTCGGCTGCCTCCCTCCCACCTACTACAGATCCAGATCAGCCTGTACATAGTGAATTAATGGACAGTCGAGATGCATTCCTACAGATGGCTCGCGAAAGACATTTGGAATTTTCATCATTGCGTCGTGCTAAGTACTCTTCTATGGTCCTGCTGTATGAATTGCACATGGAACTACGACAAAGCTTTATGTATAACTGTAATGTTTGTGGTGCGCAAATCGAAACTAGATGGCATTGTAATGAGTGCGAAGAGTATGATTTATGCTCTCGTTGTTACAAGACAGAAAACCACCCGCACCCAATGGTTCAGTATGGTCTCGGGATTGATGAGGATTCGGGCGCGAATGAGGAACCGGGTGATAGGCCTAGTGGTACTGGAACTACACCTGACCGTCGAAGCAGCATCGAGGGTTGTATTAGGTCTTTACTTCATGCATGTCAATGTAGAGATGCAAACTGTCGTATGCAAACATGTGCTCAGATGAAACGGGTGTTGTGTCACACCCGGAACTGTACCAAAAAAGCAACAAATAGCTGCTTACTTTGTAGACAGCTGTTATCTCTGCTGTGGCATCATGCTCGATGTTGTGAAGAGTCTAAGTGTCCGGTTCCTTTCTGTTCGAATATAAAGTACAGAGTAAAGCAAAAGCAATTACAACAGCGGTTGCAACAGAACAAGTTACTCAGACGTCGTATTTCAACAATGCATCGAGGATCTTTGCCCACCAGCGAGTCACAGCCTTTGACCCAGAACTGTCCTACTTCCGTAGTAGCATCTGCCTCTGGTTCTTTGAATCCGGGTAGCATAAACTCAGTGCGTCAAACTCAGTCTCCAAACCATCCATCGTTGTCAACTAATCCAATAAGGAATACACAGTTGCCCACTCCTACTGCAAACTCGACGGAGAAACCTTCTGGTAACGCAACTCCAATGGGTTTCCAATCGCAAAATTCTCAGGTACAACAACAAGGTCCAGTGTTGCTCTCTGTAGGGAATTCCCAGTATTCACATCCACCTCGAACTCCCGCCCCAGCTATTGTTTCTCAGGCCAACCAAGGTGCAGCCCCAAGACCGCCTGTTGTGTGCTCCTCAGTGATATCTTCTGGAGGTCGTGTCATTATGCAGCCCCCACTAAATACTGGTCCCACTCAACGCGCCAACCCTCCTGTCACTGTGTCCGTTACCTCAGGTTGGAGAGTTCGCCCAGTAATATCAGCGACTGCGCCTCAAAGTACTTCAAATCCATCCCCTAACCAGCAGATACAATCGCAGATACAGTCAGCGTCAGTAACATCAGCTCATTCATCAATCCCTAATCCTATAAACAATCAAAAGCCAGTCATCACTAACAAGCCTACACAAGTTGAAATCGACCATGTTAGCCAGGTAATCAGCCTCATAAAAGCCACTGGAACTTCAAGCGATGAACAGAACCGTCGAGTAAGTACCTTCTTATATGTCAAAGGGTTAATTTGTTGATTCTTGGTTTGATTTATACATAGTTTTTAAGGGCTGTAATTGGACTTTCGTAATAAGCGTTTTAGGTTCGTGGTTTGGAAAAAGGAACGACTGATGCTTATTAACGTCGGTCATTTCCACGCTAAGTTTAGTAATTATCAGCTGAACTTAGTCCATATTTATCACTGCAGCGTCTGTAAATAAAGATAAAACACGATAAAACAAGTTGATTCTTTCAGCTGTTGTGTTCACTGTGATAGGAGTTTTCCGATTTGTGTCTGCCCATCAGCATATTCTTCGACATCAATAGTAAATAAATGCACTTGGAGAAATTCACTTCAGATGTAACAGACTACTATGACTAGTATGATGCTTAGTACGCTTCTTTCACGTAGTTCACGTAATTTAACGACTGGTCGTACGTTTAAGATTTTTACAGTGCATACACATTAATAAATAGTGTTTTCAACTTCTTTACAGTTTATTGCGTGGATCAAACGTCATCCTGAGTTTCATGCAGCATTTTTCGCCTTGCACTCTCAACATAAGCAGCAAGCCGAGTTGCGTGCTCAAGCAAGTCAAAGGCGTAGTACCACATCTAGCAATATGTCCGGCAGTTCATCTCTATCTGCAAGTTTTCCAGCTTCGGTTTCCTCTGTTGTAACTTCTTCCATATCTGACGCTTCTCAATCTCTTTTGGGTTCTGGTGGTATGACGGGCAACGTTGTCATCGTTCCATCTTCCGTCTCTGCGAATTCGAATGTCCAGAATACAGGAATAAATAGAACACAAACCCCAAATGTGAACAGTCTTTCTACACCTATGTCATCTATGCCTGTTGTAACTGCTTCAGCATCTTTAGGTTCAACTCCTACGGTGGTGCATCAACCTGTTCAGTGGATTTCTATTCAGTCACCAATCACCACAAATCATCATCAACCTTTGATTACTGGGTGTACTGCACAACCAATCCAAGCTGTACCGAACACTACAACTCTGCGCTTTCGAGCAGTTCCTGGTACTGCCACATTAGTTCAGTCGCAACCACAGCAAGTACAACATTTTTATAATGCAGCACAGCTTGGTTCAGATCCTTCTTTTAGTTGTAGTGAATCCGGATCTAGTATGTTTGTTTCGGCCACTGGTTCTAGTATATTATCTGTGGGGAATCATCAGTCTCAAGTACTCAGTGCTGTTCCTCAACGTATAACTCCGGCCTCTGGCTCAAACATAACTACTCTGGGTCGTCAAACTTCTACACCACAAGCAGCTATTGTACACTTTAGATCACAGCAACACCAATCACTCAGTGGGACAGTAAATCCTATGCAACCTCATATAATACTCACTAATACAACCGCTCCTGCTACAGTTCCTGCCCATCTTTCTCACCAGCCCCAACCACAGCTCGTTTCTGCTGCCTCGAGCGGCCGCCAGGTTGTCGCTTTAATGACTCATCAAAATATTTCTCACACTAATGTCACTGATCCAGGACTACCTTCTCGTGATCCTAGCTCCAGTAATTCTAATAACAATCTTGGTAATGGTATACAATGATGAAAAGCCTGCCTGTCTGTTTTAACTTCGCTTTCACGTTTGTTGGCTGTGTAAAGTACTTTTGAAGCTTTCTATGAGCTCACATGACACGGTCATGTTTTCTGTGTCGTTGCAAGTGCTATTTGATTTGCCCCACAATCCACGGTTGGTTACATTTTTTATGATCTGCGAGCTCAAATGTCTATTCAGGGAGGGGAACTTGTTGATAAATGCTCCATATCCTTTCATCATAGCAGTTTTGTGTTTCGTTAACCTCTAACATCGCATTTATGTTAATCCAATGGAATGAAATTTCCTCTTTGATTCATGAGTTTCTAAGCCAGTTGTGTGCATTCTCTCACTCTGTTCCGGTGGTCATTTGCTCTGTTTAGTTTCTGCGCACATTATTTTGATACGTTTTGTAGCAACCCCTCCCTGCTTGACAGTGCATGCACACTTAACGAGTTCACAATCCACAAGGATATTCAAATTATTTTTCTTTTTCTTCAGTTTCTATTTCTTGCGATCTTTAGAACAAGTTTCCTACTTTATCAGATCCTGACCAAATCCAGTGTTAAGGAGTGATTTGTTTACTTTTAGATTCAAAATTTGTTTCTTATCTGAATTTATCAGCTTATCGTACTTCTATGGTGCATAGTTTTGCCATCTTCAGCTTGTTTCATCAAATCAGGTTGAAGTTTGTTGAATATTTATCACTGTATACATTTATGCCAGAGTTTCAGAACAGGCTTGAGTGCGCCTATATTCGTTCAGAATTCCAAGAAATAGTTAAACATCGCCTTCGTTTCTAAACTTGGTCAGAGCTTCGGAGTAATATAGACCTGTGTATATAGCCGTAATTGTTAATTTTTCGAATACCTCCCTCTGCTGCCTAGCTTTGTACATGCTAAATTTACTTTGTGCAGTTAATACGTTTTCTTCCCCTTGTCAAATCCCCTCATAGTTTAGTGTAGTAATATTGCTTGTGTACATGCTTTTAAGATCCGGTCTGTTGTCTTTTTCACTCTGTACTCTGGTATGACACTAATTATCTTCAACTGTCTTTGTACGCATGATATGCGCCTGCTAATAGGTGACCCTCGAAAGTACTTCATTCTGTCTTTGTAAATTATTTTCTCTTTTTATTAAGAGTTCTATTGTTTATCATAACTTTTTATGAAGTGGGAAATCTGGGTATCTTAAGTGTTTGTGATATTCACTGATTACTTTATCTTACTGTAGCAAAAGTAACGGTTGCTCGTGCCGTCCAGGTGTTTGCGTTGAGTTTGTCTAGTAGCTCTTGTAGTTCAAGGAATGTTAATTTAACATTCAAAGATTTCAAGCCCCAATATTGTGTAACTGCTCCTAGACAGCAGCAAGAAATCTACAGTCCGTTGTTAACTGGTGCCGTACAACTGAGAGTAATCTCCCCCCACTTGTATGTAGCTTAGTTGCTCTCTCATGTTAGTATGTCGATTTAAATAAGAAGGATTTTCTTATGAACCGCCACAAGTATGAGCGGTCTCTTAACTCCAACCAACTGCACTTGTCACCATAATGAAAGGGTAGTGTATACGTTATGGGGTTATTTTGAAACTGATTTTAAGCGGTAGGTTTCGTGTCGTCTGGTGTCACGCTTTTTAAGGCTCCCTTCAGCTAATTTTCTCTAATCAAAGAAGTTCTACATCCACTGATATCATTTGTGTGCCAACGTGAATTGCAGCAACTCAAACATACTACTACCAGGTCCACTTTGATATAGATTAACTGATATCACCCGTTAGGTTCCTTCCTCGTGGAGTTGAGGACTTGTTTAGTTTGGGTGACTGTCTCGTGTTAGTGTTGGTAAGCACTCTAGTCTTAGGATATTTAATAACCTAAAAATAGGATTTCATAGGAGGAAAAACGTTTTCTCTAAACATTACTAAAGTTGGTCTTTTGCGGTGATTATTGCCACCTTGACATAATTGTCTGGCTTATATGGCAGAATAACCTAACGGGTTAAGTTAGCTGCAGCATCTGTTGAATTGCTGGTTGAACGGGATGTTTCTCGCTGATTTTGTCTGCCCTATGGGGAAAGGGAAGTCCGGTAAGGTCGGTTCCAACAGTAGTGCATTCCTCCGCACCTTATTTTAACACAAGCGGTACAGGTTTTTTTTTACCGGGGTTAGCACCCCGAAACCTTCATCTAACAACCCTGTGTGACAGGCCTCACGCAGATATCTCGTGAGCTTCGGTCATGCGAAGCTATCCCTTTTATGTACTTCCCATCAATAATTCTCGCGGTGTGAGCAACTGAGAAGTATCAACATACCCTTTTCACCGTTAACTCCTACCTTACTTTAAGCCTCGTATAATTTCCTGAAGTATCACCCTGCAACCGTTACTGTTGATCCTAACTAGCTCAATTCCTTCCTCATCCTCCTAGAACGCCAGAATCAATTTCACATATCTTACGACGTCTGGATCCACTGCTGACCCGGATAACAGGTCTCACTTGCTAAGATTTCGGAATCTCAAGTCTTGTATGGATGCTGTATTTCTTAGTTATACGTACAGGACTCATGTGTGGCTACACACGTGATGTAGCCCAGCTAATGCAATCATTCTGCGAAATTCACTTAGCAAGTATTTGGAGATCCAGGGGTTACCGTGAATTTGCTGGTGTGCATAGTATTAAGTTGCAGAACAGAAGCATACTTCTTGTCATGCTACTACGGCGGTTTCGTATACACTATTCGAATGGACGAATCTGTGAGAACTAGGAAACATCGTGAAATTAGCCTGAACTCATTCGTAATTTCCATTTACATAGACTTCCGATCAAATTATACGAAGAGTGAATTCTATCAAAAGTTGTCAATTGGTTGCCTAAAACAAAGCATTCAGGTTTGGTCATAACAGTAGAAGCTGAGTCAATCCCAAAGGCATCTTGGAGGTATCTATGGGATCCCATACAAACAAAATGATGATCCTCTCTTACGATTTCAATCTGATAACCACTTATTTCTGTCTAGCACTAACTTCGGGTATGAGGAGAGAGGCTTTTGTTGTCCGCTAACATTGAACCAACGATGGACGCGGATAGATCATACTGCTATAGGTCATCGGTGTAGGAAGTCTTGAGGGTTTCTGGACTGCCTGTTTGGACTACAATCATGCGTTAGTATGAGCACGTTTACGTTTGCACCTTACTGGTCACAGGCAGCAATGAAGCCTGTACTTACTCGACCAGGAGATGAAGACGACAAGTGTATATTTAAGGAGATAGTGAAGCCTTTATTTGAGTATGGGTAAAATTCTTCTCCTGATGAAGCCTGGTATGAGATTCAGTTTGCTGTGGAAATATCAGCAAAGGCAGTTAGTAATCTACATCGAGGCGTTGGTAGAAGCCAGTAGATTTGCGCAACCTAATCCGAACCGATGGGTGCAAGGAGACTCATTGCAGATGGCTCTGGCCGCGAAGAGGAGCGAAAGCAACTGAAACATGAATTGACCAGGGTTCTTAGCAATGACTGTCCGGTAATGGGCGATGAAGGCGAAAGAAATGGGGAAGACATAGTGGTTAGTTTGTACTGGGTAGGATTTTAGATTTATTGAAGGGGGGGGGAACTAGCAAGAAGAGGCTGATTACTGAGATCACTATTCCTTGATAATTTCTCACAACGGGTGGCTGTAATGTTGGAGAGCAGTTTAACTTGTCTACAGCCACGATTTAGTTGCTTAGCTTTCGGCCCGTGCTCGCATGGAAGGTAGTTCTTGGCTTCCGAATTCCACTGCAGTAGGGGGACTGTTTCTAAGGTGAAACCATATATTCCAGCGGGATCTGACTTTTGCCCACCAGAAGTTTTCCATAGCTGCACGTAGAAAGTTACTTAGTGAGGTAATCGACGTACTAAGTGTGAAAATCAGAACTAGACCAATTATGTTGATCTGGATTACGTGTAATCACAATTTATAAGAAATCGGAGATTCCCCGCCACAAACATCACATGGTTGGTTCGACCAAAATCGTCCCCAAGATCCCAGAGTCCCTAATTATCCAGTGCTAGGCCGGGACTTGAGAACACGAAACTGGGGAAACAGTTTTCAGGCAAGGATCAAGGTACATCGACCGAATCTTCACCCTTTGGGGGGGGGGGATATTGTGACACATGTTTACTGACCGTCAGCCGACACGTGTGTTTACTGAAGACTAGAGATTAATTCCCAGGTCACCTGGCTGACTTGCAAAGGACGGGTCCTGTTAATCGAGGACTGATGAAATACAAACTTTTGGTCGCTTTTAGCAAAAGTATGAGTATGTTTGATATGCTTTTGGCAACTGTCGTATTTAAGATGCTGCTTCAAGACTCGTCTATAGCTACTCCAGTCTTACGGATAGAAAGCTATATGGTGCTATGAGTTGACCACTTCACTTACTTTGGAGTTGCATCAGCTTGAATGGGCGCTGACAAAATCTCAGCTCGGATACAGAAGATCCATTCGGTAATTTCCAATTTGTGGCACCTCTGGCACCAGCAAGACATCTGATTACATATTAAAGGACGGGTATGCAGTGCGTCCCATTTAAGCGGCTAAGATACATGACCACTGGAAGTGGGTGTGAGGGTATGGTTTCTGATGACAGGTATCTTTTCAGCATTGATAACGTGTTGTAGAATCATCTTGTCAGCAATGCCGAGGTTAGGCATAGAGTAGTAGGTGGGGAAGGTTAGTCAACCGCTGCTTGTCAACCTTCAGTGACTGAAGTGAATTGAACATATGTTGCCCGAGTACCCCACGGCCTGTCTCGACGTACGACGCTAGTTGAAGTAAGAACTGGATGAAGGGAGGTCGAAACACGATTTCGCATGAATTTATAATGTCTTTGACTTTCAGTCTCAGCCTTGAGAGGTTAAGATTATCTGTTCTGGGTCCTCGAGATGGTAGTAATTAACGGTTGGAAAGGCTTGATGTTGTAGCTGAAAATCGATCACAATGACATGTATGGATGTATGCATTCTCTGTCATCTTTAAAG